TGGGTATTGAGGAGGGCACGTTCTGCATGGAGCACTGGGTGTTATGCACAAACAATGAATCATGGAACACTTCATCTAGAACTAATGATGTAACGTATGGAGATTAACATAAGAATAAAAAAAAAGAGAGACTATGGAAACAGAATTTAAAAAAAAGCCGAGTGGTCCCTCCATGTCCTTCACGACCCAGCCGCAGAGGTACTGAGCACCATTCGTTAGGGTTTACAGGGAGTCATGGGAAGCGTAGGGTCCCGGTGGGGGACGTTCTGTTTCTTCCAGAAATCAGTAAAGCAGAGAAACTGCACAGAGAAGATCTGGCCCGCCTAACAGACACGCGCCGCCTAACGCTTAGTGGGCGTGGGCGTTGTTTATAGGGATTTGTAGGAGATTAGCGTTGGCTAGCAGGTCACAGAGAAGGACAAGGCTTCATCACATTCGGGAGAAGCGATGGCACGTATACCTTCTTCTCTGAGTTTGCTGTAGTAAAACTTTAGCTCAGTGGTACTATCTTGTAAAAACCCCAGCAAAAATCCTAAGGCGTGCTGCCAAGTAACTTATGAGTAAGCGTGGAAGCTGAGGAGGGCTGAGCCCGGCCCCCGGTGGGGCTTCCGGCCCTGTCCTGACGTCACACAGTTGGGCTGTGCACCTTGCCCAGGGGCTCCGAGCGTCTCTTAGCAGGCTTAGGGGTCAAGGCCCCAGCCGGCACTGGCCTTGGGCTCGGCTCGTGACAGACACAGCCCCCTGCCTTGCTTCTGTGGCAGCCAGAGGGCTCCAGCTGACTGAGGGCGCAGATGCGTCACCCCGAGGGTCTGCTGTTCCCATGCCCCCGCTGTCCTGGGTCACTGCAGAGCCTGGCACGTGGTGGGCGTGCGGGGAGCACTTGCACCAAGGGGCAGACTCACAGCTGCTCCCTCCGTGTTAGGAGCACGTGTGCAGATCCCCCGTCAGCGTCCTGTCTTTTGGTTCAGGTGGGCCGTTCCGGGTCTGGGAGGTTCTTCCTTCGGCCTCATAGTGAGTCAGGTAGAGGCAGGTTGACTCGGTAGTGGGCGTGCCTGGGGCTCACCGTGTGCCGCTGTCCGTGTTCTGCACCCGCGGAGGTTGACTGTTTGCGTTTTGAATCAATGCAGCTCCTAGAGCAGAATGGAGGCTATGGGAACCCTGTCCCGTCCCGAGGGCCACCCCCTCCTGGGGGCTCCAGCAGTGGTGGCTACAGCGGAGGTGAGTACCCCCTGCCTCGTGCCCTCCATTTGTCCCCTGGGGTTACCGTGTCCCTGCTGTGCACAGGGCACCCAGGTCCTGCTCTCCCAGGGCTTTGGGCCTGACAGCAAGAGACAGGCTACACATTTGGGGTCCTCAGGATCACTCTCAGGTTTGGATTGCCTCGGGCTGCCAGAACTCAGTAGGACTGGCCCACTGGGCCACGGGGAGCTGGGGACGAGCATGAGCATCAGCTGTCCTCTCCCTCTATCGTCAGGTCAGCACTGGCCCTCTGCAGCATGGAGGGACAACCAGGGGTGGCCACACAGGCATCGCTGGCCACCCCCGTGGCTGGCTGGTCTCCAGCCCCGCGGAGACCCGGGGGCCCTCCGTCAGTCACTTGTCGGTGTGGCCCGTGGCCTAGGTGGATGAGGGCACGCCTCGAAGGGCAGTGACCGGGAGGGCGAGCACATTAGAAGGAGGGTGTGTGGGGCACAGAGTGGCCCTGATGGGAATTGGGGGGCTGGAGGGCTCCACGTGGGGGTTTCGACCGGGAGGCCCAGACACTGCTGTGGTGGGGCCGGTGGTTTTCCTCACAACTCCCGTCACGTTTGGTGAGCGATCCGTGCTCTCGGCCGGTGTGTATCAGGATGGGTCGGGTGCCCAGCACTGCCATGGCAGAGCGGTGTCCCCAGGGGAGCCCTCGGCCTGAGCTGTGTGTGGCCGTGCCTGGGAAAGTTCTGGAAGGCTGTCTGCCACGTGCCCCGGTGCTCATCCCCCAGCTCTCAGTGTCTGTGGTGTGAATCCAGGCCCTGGCTCCTTCAGCTCTCCCGTGTCCGTGCACTGTGGGCCCCGGACGCCCCCCTGAACGTCCCGTGTGGGGGGGCGCCTCGCCTGCCATGGGGGGAGGTTCCCAAGGCACTGAGATAAGACCATGCTACACAGAGGCTGCGGGCGTCCTGGCAGACGACCCCCATGCAGCCCGTGGATCGTGCTGATCTCTGTTCACGCCAGCTTCTCCCACCACAGCCCCCTTGACGACCGCACCTTGGGGGCCCTGCATCTGTTGCTGCTCTGTTCACATCCAGGCAGCGTGTCTGCAGCTGCCTGTTTGGAGTCCGGCTCCGTCCCAGCAGCCCTGCCCCCGAGAACGTGCCTGAGGTCCGGCCATGTGGCCTTTCTGTGCCTGGCTTGGAGCTGAGCAGGCCTCCCCGCTGCATGGCCCGCTGTGTTCTCCCCACATGTCCTTCCCCACCCTTCCCTCCTCCAGGTGGCGACGGCTTCCCTGTCCACCCGTGTGCCCTTGCCTCAGAGCTGGAGGGGGCCTCCCCTTTGCTGGTTCCCTCAGCATGAGTTGGTGTGACGGCGGCCTCCCAGCTGGCATCCCGCGCATGCCAGAAGTGGGTGGGGGGACGTCCTGGAGACGGGTACGGAGGGCCGTGTGTGCCCAGAGGGCCCAGCTCCTCTTCACGGTGCCCAGGTTCTGCCCTTGAGGGAACCGGTGGCCGGGCACTCAGTGGGGGTCGTACAGGGTGGCGCTGCCCGCCAGGCTCACGCGGCAGTTGCTGGTTTCATCTCTGCGCCTGGACGTGGTGTGCTGACAGTTGAGGCCGACAGGAAGCGGGGCTCCTTGCTGGATCTGCTTCTTGGCTCGCGTCCCCACGGGAGCTGGCCCCAGGCCGTGCCCTGGTCTGAGACTTGTCTCTGCTTCCAGGCCTGGCACTTGCCGAGTACGACCAGCCCTACGGCGGGCTCCTGGACATCCTGCGGGGGGGCACCGAGCGCCTCTTCACAAACATCAAGGATACCTCCTCCAAGGTCATCCAGTCCGTTGCCAAGTGAGTGAGGGCGCAGCTTCTAGGTGACAGCACGTGGGTTCTTTGTAGTGGGGATTTCCCGACCCTTGGGCTGTCCTCCCTCCAGACCTGGCAGGACCCACACTCGAGGCTGTTGGTAAGCGTGCATGCCCTGTCTGCATGGGCTCTGCCATTGGGCCCACAGACCCTGGGGGGGGTGGGTGGTGGTTTCTGCGCTCTGTGATGGAGGTGGCCGCTCGTTTCCACCCCGTCCGTGGCTGGCACTGGGCCACATGGGAGCGCCTGAAGCCACGGGACTGCGTCCCTCTCTCCCCCAGGGGGGCCTTTTCCACGGAGACCGTGAGCCCCGCCCCCAGCCTCAATGTCTGCCTTGCACTGTGCCCACACACCTCACATTTGTGTGGTTTCTCCTCCGTGGTGTGGAGTGAGTGGGGCAGTGGGGGGGGGCCCAGGGACGTCTCACAAGTGCAGCCTGCTGAGTTAAAACACCGAAGTACCTCGGCTGGGTGGGTTTGAGCGCGTGGGTGGATAGTCACTTTACGAGCGCGTTTTCGTTCAGGGGGGCACAGTCCTGTCGTGCTGGACGCTGGCCTGTGGCTCCTGCGGCCAGAATGTGCGACCTGCATTTGCTGTGTTCTCTGGAGGCCCCTCGGCTCTGACTGTGGAGCTCCACGGGAGCAGCAAGCAGGACCCAGGGCCTGGGGGCCAGTCAGGGACGTCCACGTCCGTGGGCGCTCCCTCGCTGTTCTGACAGTTTTGGGGAATGGTCCGTGGGCGTTGGGTCCGTGAATCTCAGTCCAGGGCTCAGGAGGTTTGTTCGCCTGTGGTCACCGTGGGTCTCTGATGGCGTGGAGACCGCTTGGCCCTGTGTTCCTTGTTCTTCTGTGCGACGGGCATCGTGTTGTGTGTACACTGTTGACACTGGTTAAGTCACGCGTGCTGGCGTGGGCGTGTGCACACATGTGTGGGGCACGCGTGTGAGCGCACGTGTGTGGGACACGTGTGTGAGAGCGTGTGCACGCGTGTGTGGGACACGTGTGTGAGAGCGTGTGCACGCGTGTGTGGGACACGTGTGTGAGCGTGTGTGGGGCGTGTGAGCACGCGTGTGTGGGACGCGTGTGAGCGCGCGTGTGGGACACGAGTGTGAGCACGCGTGTGAGCGTGTGCACGTGTGTGGGGGGCGCGTGTGTGAGCACGCGTGTGTGGGACACGAGTGTGTGTGAGCACGCGTGTGTGAGCGTGTGGGACACGAGTGTGTGTGGGACACGTGTGTGAGCACGCATGTGAGCGTGTGCACGCGTGTGGGACACGAGTGTGAGCGTGCGTGTGTGTGAGCGTGTGCCCGCGTGTGTGGGGCATGTGTGTGAGCGCACGTGTGTGGGACACGTGTGAGCGCACGTGTGTGAGCGCGCGTGTGTGAGCGTGTGCACGCGTGTGGGACACGAGTGTGAGCACGTGTGTGTGTGAGCGTGTGCGGGACACGTGTGAGCATGCGTGCATGTGAGCGTGTGCATGCGTGCATGGGACACGTGTGTGAGCACGCGTGCGTGTGAGCGTGTGCGGGACACGTGTGAGCACGCGTGCGTGTGAGCGTGTGCACGCGTGTGTGAGTGCTGTGCTGTGTTGGGCTGTGCAGCGCTGCGTCCTCTTACCCGATGTGACTCTGGAATGAGAGGAAACCGGGTTTCGCTGGATGTCTCAGCAGACGGGGCCCCGCTCGCACCTCCGTGAGCCTCCATGACGTCGCAGGCCACACCTCGTCAAAGGCAGCCTGTGCGCTTCTGGTGCGAGCTCTCTGGAGTCCTGTCCCCCGAGTCGGACCGGCTGTGGCTTGCGTTCTGCTTGCGGAGGCAGGAGGGTCGAGCTGCGGGCCTGGACGGGACGGGTGGGGCTGCCGGTGGCCCTGAGACCCAGCTGCCTCCTGGTGTGCCTTCCCAGCGTGCTTCTGACGACGGGTGACGTCGCATGGTGGTGCTGCGTCATGGGTCTCTCCGCGTGCTTCACCCCACAGGCCGCCGTCCCCTGCACTGTGTGCCCACTGCAGCGCTGTCCTGTGCCTCCTCCCAGCAAGGGATGTTGCAGGGGTCTCCTGGGACCGGAGAGCTGTGCAGTTGCAGCTCCCCGGGGATGACAAGCCGGGGGTTCTGGGACGTGCAGGAAGCTACTCAGCCCCGCCCTCGGGGACCCACACACACCGAGTGGGTGCGGACCCCCTTTCTCCCTGGGTCTCTCAGGGCTTCTCAGCGAGACTCGGAGAGCAGACGCCAGGCCGCGGCTGCATGGACGTTGTCCGAGGCCTCAGCTGCCAGCCCTGGGGTGGGTGTGGAGGATGGGTGCTCGTGGCCTCCCACGTGGCTGAGATGCTGGGGCCCCCACGGGGCTGGAGGGGAGGACTGGGTGCTGGTGCATCTGTTCAAGCTCTTGAACGCGACCTCAGTGTACAAAGGAATGTGAGGTTCTCTCTTGTGACGGTAGAGATGGTGCTGGTGTGCTCCGGGATTTAGTTGACTTCATGGCTGACTCTGGATTTGTGCGACTATCTTACACCCCAAACGGGATATTAATGCGAAGAAATGACCCTCAGAGCGCACATCAGGCTGGCAGCACAAGCAGAATTCCACCGGTGACTCGGGCGTGGGGGCCTGCAGACACCATCAGATGCGCCTTGGGGCGGGAATGACGCTCAGCGTCGTCCTCGTGTGACGTCGAGATCAAAGTGTAGACGAGGATAGACCAAGATATCATCTGGTGTCGTCAGGATCAAAGTTTCTAGAACAAGAGAAAGAGAATATGTGTCAGGGTCCCAAGACCACCCCCGGGTTGGACATTGGCTGGAGGACACCCAAGACTTGGCTCTTGCCTCAGAGCCCTGGGAAAAGGCGTGTGGTGCAGAGCCTGGGGGAACCCGGCACGGCTTCCCGGTCCTCCCCACTCCGTGGAGTCACGTGGGATGCGTTTGATTCCCAGCCCAAGCCACTACAGCACATGTGACGTGTTGTCATCCAGGGAAGCCCCCCAGAGACCCAGCACCCAGGGTTTGTGTTCAGCTGGTCACAGGCACCCTCTGCCTGGCATGCACCAGGCTGCAGGCTCTTGAGGGAAAGCAGGCCTGAGCATAAACCACATCTTGGTACAAGTAGTCCAGGCACAGGGGACCACTCTTACCAGTTCTGGGAACAGTGAGGATCCCCCCGAAATCACTGTACCATAGCCAAGGACCAGCCCGGCAAGCAGGTTTCTCTGTGGATACACGGTTAGGCCTGTGTAACTGTCTTTTGTCCAAGGTTCATGCTTAAAATGTGATTCAGAGAGCGTGTCTGAGACTTAGGAGCATCCAGGCTGGAGAGGAAACGTCTCAGGTGGTGACAGACTCAGGTTCACGATGAGCCTACCCAAAACCCTTGCTGGTGTTTTGTTTAGCCAGCCCACAAACAAAAGCGGAGCGTTGGACGGGGAACGGCGGAAGGCATGGGTCCTAGCCCTTGTCTCAGCCGTGACGTTCATGCTCATGACTGCAAGTGCCTGGCAGCCATGGTGTGGAGGGCCAGGCACACCTCTGCCCCTCGTCGGGCCTGCTGGCTGTGCTCACGGAAGGAGTCCCCCAGATGCAGTCCTGTGTGGTGAGCTTCAGGTCCTCTGAGGGTCTGGGGCGACCCCAAGGCTCTACGTGCCACAGGAGGGCCCAGGGAAGGCCTTGGTAGGGGATGGCTTGGTCACTGAAGAGCCCTCTCTGGTGCAGGCAGAGCCCTCACGGTAGGGTCTGTGGACCCAGCAGTCCTGGGAGGCTTGTCCTTGGAGGAGGCGCAGCCCGGGCAGCCTGTGTGTGAGAGTCCATGTCTGGAAGCCAGGGCCTCAGGGGCCTGAGCCTGGGCCTGCATGTGTGGTCTCATTGCTTCCTCGTGTAGTGTGCACACCCCTCGCACACATCCTGGAGCCAGAACGACCAGGTGCCCTGAGTTCCTGACTTTGCACGTCATTCTGACCACACCCCACGCAGGGTAGAATGGCCAGGGCCTGTGGACGTGCACCTCTGGCCACGGGTGTTTCTCTTCCTCTGGCCTACCTGTTCTAATCCTTTGCTCTTTTTCTGAGTTTCTGTTTTTGTTTTACCAGCATTATATTGTATTATGTGTTCTGTGTATTAATTCTTTTTGTGAGAAAGGTAAATATGGGCACTTTATCTGTTGCTCATCTTGTTTGTTTTGTCCTCCAGTGGATTCTTTTTGTTTTATTAGCAAGTGTGTGCGAGACCACGGGAGGCGGGGAGGAGCAGAGGGAGAGAGAGAACCTCAAGCAGACTCCCCACTGAGCGCGGAGCCCAGTACCAGGCTCGATCCTGCAACCCTGAGATGGTGGCCTGAGCCGAAAGCAAGAGTCAGACCCTCATCTGACTGAGCCCCCCAGCATCCCCGTGCTGCAGGGGTTGTAAGTTAAAGTACAGCGAGTCCGTGTTTCTCTTAGGTCTGTCGGCCTCCGTGCTCAGGGTCCTTCATAGCCCAGGTTTGAGCACATTTAATATATTTTAAAACAGTTATTTAAATGTGTTGTAAATATATTTTTTGATGGTTTTACTGTTTTACATTTGTGTCTTTAATCCATTTAGGGGATTTTTTATTTTGGGGGATTTTTCTTGCCCCAGTCTTCCCCAAGAAGAGCAGCCCCTCCGCTGATGGCCAAGCCAGGCAGCATTCCGGTCCTTTCTCCGGGCCCCCTTCCACTCTGCCCAAGAACATCGGCTGTTCTTACACATCAGCATTTTGGAATGAATTCTAGAATCAACTTGTCAGGTTGCCTGAATGGTCACTTAGGATGCTGTTGCACTTAATCCACGTTATGATCATTTCAGGGCAGTTGGTCTGCGCAGGGCTGGCTCTGGCTTCCAGCAGAGAGGCATCCCCAGGTCCAAGGGCTCCTTTCCTGCCCTCCTGGATGCCTGCTGGCTGCAGTCAGAGGACGGGCATGTGGGGCGGCGTGTGGGCGGGGGTGCGGGCTGGGCGGCGAGCCTGGGCTGGCTGCTCGCGGTGCCTCTGGGCCTCCTGCGGCCAGAGCCAGTGGGACGGACTCTGCTGCTTCGGCAGCACATTGTGCAGAAGGCACCCCCCACTGTTAGCTTCGTCTGACAAAAGCCCTCACGTTGGACCGCTTGAGTGGAGAAATACACCGTGTTTATGTTTGGGAGAATTAAATTTTGAAGGTGGTATCAGTCAGTCTGTAAATTAATTGCACTATAAATAAAAATACTGATGCTTCTGTCGATTTTGATCTTAAAGTTTGTGTACGAGTTATCCAGAATTGCCAGCAGCATATTAAAAAAAATAAGACTGGGAACCCATTGTATGTCACTTTTCTTCAAACGTGAGCACTGTGCCCATTTGGTGAAATGGTTGCTTGTGTGGGACTCATATAAAACCAGTGAAACCTTAGGGTTCTGGTTAACGACGGTGCTATGTCCATGGGTATCTGTATGGGGAAGATAAAGTCGAGTTTTTATCCAGTAACGGACAAGAGCATTCATCTGATTAGTTAAAAGATCTCATTGTCAGCAGCAGTTTTTTTTTTAAAGATTTTATTTGTTTGTCAGAGAGAGCACAAGCAGGGGGAGCAGCAGAGGGAGAGGGAAAAGCAGGCTCCCCGCAGAGCAGGGAGCCCAACGCGGGACTCGATCCCAGGACCCCGGGATCACGACCTGAGCCAAAGGCAGATGCCCAACCAGGCATGCCATCGACAGCAATTTTTTTTTTTTTTAAGATTTTATTTATTTATTTGACAGAGAGAGAATGAGAGAGCGCATGAGAGGGGGGAGGGTCAGAGGGAGAAGCAGACTCCCTGACAAGCAGGGAGCCCGATGCGGGACTCGATCCAGGGACTCCAGGATCATGACCTGAGCCGAAGGCAGTCGCTTAACCAACTGAGCCACCCAGGCGCCCCTCGACAGCAATTTTTTAGAGAAAATTAAAATAGGGGCATTCTTGTGACACCAGAGTGAGGTAGATTTCTTAAATGTAATAAAACTGCACCAGCCATGGGAACGAATGGTTAGTAAATGTAATTTAAAAACCCTCTATCCATCAAGGCACACTTCTTTCAGGTTTCCAAAAAAGTACGACCCTGATTGGGAGTAAGTGTGTTTGAATCATAAAACTCCCAGAGGGACGGTATCTATTACATGAAATAGGTTTTGGAGACAAGAAGCAGGCATGGAGGCAGCTAACAGGACAGATGGTGAATAAACCATCAGAAAACGCTCAGCTTTGGGAGTGTTGTGCAGACATTGGAGAGTTGAGTCTTGATCTACTCTCGCCGTCTCTGTCTTGAAATGGGTTGCGTGCAGACCACGGATATGCATCACTGGGTGGGTGCCCAGCTTGTCTGTCCCCGCTTCCTACGCTCTGCCCGGCCTTCTGTGGTCGTGATTGAGCCTTTCACGGGAGCCCCTGGTCTCTCCTTTCCTATCTGTTACATTTCTTCTTCTTTTTTTTTTTTTAACTTTTTTACTGGCTGCTCCAGAGTTTGCAGTATATATTTCTGGCTAATCCAAATCTCCTTTCAAATAGGGCCCATACCACGAGCCCTAACCCTCTGGACGCCACGGGGACCCTGCTCCCCGCCACTGGTACTCGGGGCCAGCATTCGCGTTGTCAATGCAGAATGTGTCTCGTTGCCATCATTTGGAACAAACTGGCATCTATTAAATCAGCTAAGAATAAGAAAAATGAAAGTTGGTTTGTTTTGTTTTGTTTTTGTTTTTGTTTTTTTAACCTTCACTTTCTCTTTGATGTTCTTCTGTTCTTTATGTAGATCTGAGTTTCTGACCAAAGCATTTTTCTTCTCTCTGGAGAACTTCTTTTAACACGTCTTGCAAGGCAGTTCTACTGGCAACAGATTCCCTCAATGTTTGTCTGACTAAGTCTTTATTTCTCCTCACTTTTGGAGGATAATTTCACAGGGTGCAGAATTCTAGGTTTTTCCTGGGTGGGTTTTTTCTGTCCACACTACATATTTTATCTCTTTTTGCTGGCGTGGTTTCTGAAGAGATTGCTCCTGCCTGATGTTCTCTGAGCGTCCTAGGTCCGGGGTCTGGTGTCTCACGTTAGTTTGGGGAAATTCTCAGTCATTATCGGCTCACGTATTTCTGCTGTTTTCCTCTCTGTGTCTCGTGTTCCCGTTACGTGTACCGTACACCTTTGCGGCTGTCCCACATCCTTGGAGACTCTGTTCTGGATTTTGTCAGTCTTTGTTCTCTTTGCTTTTCATTTTTCAAGGGTTCTGTTGCTCGATCTTCCAGCTCAGAGATTCTTTCCTCAGCTGTGTTCCGTGTAATCAGCCCATCAGAGGCATCCTGTATTTCTGCCACAGTGTTTTTATCTCCAGCATTTCTTTTTGATCCTTTCTTGGAACCTTTGTCTCTGTTTGCACTGCCCATCTGTTTTTGTCTGCCCTCTGCTTTATCAGAGCCTTTAGCATGTTAATCGTAGCTGCTGAAGTTCCTGGTCCTGTGGTTCCAACAGCCCTGCGATGTCTGCTTCTGATGCTTTCTGGGTCTCTTGAAACTCAGTTTTTGCCAGACACGATGTGCTGTCTTCCGTTTTGGTTGCCAGCTCCCGTGGCCATATGTCTTTAGAGTAGACTAGCAGGCAGTTTGCCGGGGTCTGTGCCTCTCCGTCACTTGCAGTTTATAACTTCCCGTCCACCTCCACTCTGGACGTGCACTGAAGGTGCTCACTCGCATACACGACGTTCCCGTGAGCCGCGGCCTGAGCCTTCGCACGACTCGCTCCATTTAAGCTCTCGTGACTTATCTGTAGAAATTTCCCGTAATAACCAAGGCTCTTCTTTTCAATTCCAGTTATGCAAAGGGAGATTTGGACATATCTTACATCACATCCAGAATTGCTGGTACGTTTGCCTCCGCTAACCATAAGGACGTGCTTCTGATTCTTTCCTGTCTCAGGATGGCTCATGGGGTGCAGGGCACGAGGATGTGGCTGGTGGGGAAGGAGAGGGTGTCCCTCGGGCAGCCACTCACTTGCCCAAGGTGGGGCCCTGGGCACCTGTCCCTTTGCCCATTGTATCTCCAGGCCCTGCCGTGGACAGTACCACCGTCGACCCACCTTCCCCCCCTGGTCTGGAACTTTCTGGAACTCTGAGATCATGAGGGGAATGATGCAAAGCACATTTAAAACTTGGGTCTCCACACACTGAAACCAGAATCCAGACACTTGGAGACCCTGCTGTGCATCAGGCTCTCTGGCTGAACTCACTGTCCCAGAAAGCACTGTGTGGAGATCCCAGAGGGTTGGTGGGGGTGGCGAGGTCTGTGTTCTGTCCGTTCTTGGCGGCCATTGTACTGATCAGTCAGCAGCTGTGGGGAGATGAGCGGGGGCCCAGGTGGCCGACTGTCCTACCCAAGTGCCACCACCCTGTGGCAGCTGACGTGGGCTGCTCTCTTTCAGTGATGTCATTCCCAGCGGAAGGCGTGGAGTCGGCTATCAAGAATAACATAGAAGACGTACGGTTGTTTCTGGACTCCAAGCACCCGGGACACTATGCGGTCTACAACCTGTCCCCGAGAACGTATCGGTCCTCCAAGTTTCATAACCGGGTGGGTGGCCTGGACGCTGGCCTCTCACTGCATGCGGCTTTCTTCCAGTCGGCCCTCAGACCCACGTGTGGCATTCCCCAGCAGCAGTGGTAGCCGGCGGAGCCCATGGCTCTGGTGGGGTGGGGGGCTTGGGTGTGGCGACACGGGGCCCCCATGCAGCACACGGCGGGGACGGGGGCTTTCTCTGGAAGACTCCGTAACGTGACCTGTGAGGAGACAGATGGGCTTCAGTGTGTCCCCTGGGGATTGCTAAAATCTAGGGTGCCTTGTTGCTCCTCACCAGTGAGGCTGTGAGAGGCCACGTGGTTTTCTTAGTAAATGACCACGTGGGACACAGACACTTTCATGGTATTTAGACTGAGCCAAGCGTGGGGAAGGGTAGCTTCTCCAGTCTTTTTGCCAAGTCTGCATAGCCTGGTACACATCCTAGAGCACGAAGCTCAGGAGCGGGGGCCTGGTGGCGTCTGTCCAGAGCCAGTGCCCGTGGTGGGGCTCCCCCCTTCCCCCTGTGTCTGCACCCCCAGCTGGTGCAGGGAACCCAGGCTGAGCCAAGCCCTCTGCCCGCAGGTCTCCGAGTGTGGCTGGGCGGCCAGGCGGGCCCCAAACCTTCACAGCCTGTACGGCGTTTGCAGGAACATGCATTCATGGCTACGGCAAGACCACAAGAACGTCTGTGTTGTGCACTGCGTGGTGAGTGTGAGGCTGCCCCATCCCTGCCCTCCACCTTGGGGGTGCGGTACCTGAGAAGAAGACGTAAACCGGGGAGAGTAACCCACAATCTGCTGAGGGGATGGAAGTGAGCTCCAGTGCGCCGAGGAGGGGGGCCGGCGGGGCAGCTGGGGTCCCCCACACAGTCACAGGCCTTGTCTGATACTGGGTGAGGCCCCTGGCAGCACGGGACCGCCTGTGCTGGAGAGTGGGGGTCTGTTTGGGACACGCTGGGCTAGCACTTGGACTCGTGGCAAGTCCTGTGAGGAGCGGGTTCTGCCCTGGTGTCTGCAGCCGGTGACCCTAGGCCTAGCTGCCCTGGCATGGCCCCTGTCACTTCAAGGTAGCAGACCCCAGAGGGAGCAGCGGCTGCCTGTGCCTTGTGGGACCCACCGCTTCTTGGGGAAGACTGCCCGCACAGGTGGTCCCCCTACTCCTCTTTACAGAACACAAGGGGTCCCCACGGGTCGTTCTTTCCCCGCAAGGCAGCATGCACACGAGCCTCAACAGCCTGGCCCTGAGGCCACTCTGCCTCATGGGACCCCCATCTCTGCTCCTCCTCACTGTGGCTGAGGACAAGCCTTATTTCCAGTTTCCCGCCTGCACAGTGAGGGTTTGTTAGGAACCTCTAATCTTTCTGGACTCTGAACCGGACCCCCGTCAGGTGTGTTTTCCTAAGTTCCCAAGTAGGTTTTGAGACGGGAAGGCCCTGTGGCTGTTGTCTAGGGAGGTGTGTGATGAGGAAGCCGCCTTCCTCCAGCCGCGGCTGCGTGAGCCTGGCCTGTGCCGTTTGTCCTAGGACGGGAGAGCCGCGTCTGCGGTGGCCGTCTGCTCCTTCCTGTGCTTCTGCCGGCTCTTCAGCACCGCGGAGGCTGCCGTGTACATGTTCAGTATGAAGCGCTGCCCGCCGGGCATCTGGCCGTCCCACAAAAGGTACGTGTGTCCCACTTTGGAGCTGTCGTCCGCGGCATCACCCTCGGCCAGGTCGTAGCCGAGGGTGCTGGGAGGGGGGAAGACTTTAGGGCCCATGTGCAGAAGTGGGCGAGTCTGTGCCTTCCTGAGTCTTGGCTGGCCACTGGAGGGACACACAGCTTCAGGACAGGACCCCAAGGTGTCTGACAGGAGATTCAAAGTAACTGATTAATGTGTTGAAGGTGCTAATGAGGAAGGTGGGCAAGACCTAGGAGCACGTGGTCACTTCAGCAAAGACGGGAACTGTGAGTCCCGAGCGCAAACGTCAGACACGAGAAAGGCAGTGTTCGTGGAGGCTGCCCCCCCCCCCCCAGGCTCTCCGGCAGCTGAGGGAAGGGCCTCAGGCTCTTGAGGGCGGGGCCGGCGGCATGACTCAGACCAGAGCGCGGAGAGGGATCACGGGAAGGGGCTGAGCAGCCAGGCCTGCCAGGCCGTCTCGGACCATTGCGGGAGGCAGAACAATGGGGAGGGCAATGGGCAGACACAGTTGCCAGGGAATTCCCCAAATTAATGAGACACCAAGCCTCCAAAGCTCAGAGGACACGAAACAGGGTGAAACACTAAACAAACATGCAGAAAACCCACTCAGATGCACCGTACTTCGTCTGCTGGAGACCCCACACACACAGAGCTCAAAGGTCACCGGAGGGCAGAGGTACAGACCTCGTCCGAGTTGTTGGAATGCCCAGGGCAACCAGTAAAGGTTCTAAGTACGAGAGTTAGTAAGTCAGCAGAGGAAATGGACAGAGTTATAAAAAGTGCTCACTTGAGGAAAAGACCAAAGAAGAAGAAATGAGGAACAGAAGCAGTTAGCAAGACGATGCAGTACAAGCCGGCCACAGCAGCGGTCGAGCTCTGAAAGTGCCCATGAGGAGGAGGATCGTCAGACTGGATAAAAGAGCAAGACCCGGCGATGCCCTGTCTGGAGGAGCCCCACTTCTGCCATCAAGACGGAGGAAGCCGGCATCAGCCGTGGAGGAGGGCCGTGGCACCGGTGCCGGGTGACTGATCACCGCAGACTTAGCGGCTCGAAGAGCCCGCACGTGCTTCTCCGCCTCTGTGGGTCGGGTGGCCGGGCTGCGTAGTGTGAACTTCACTGAGAAGGTCCGCTGCTCCCTCTCCAGTCCACTTCCGCGCTCGCTCAGGCTGTTGGCGGGACTCAGGGGTGTGGATGGGGTGTGGCATCCTGGCTTCGTGCTGGGAGTGAGGTGCATGCAGGCGTCCTGTCATGTGGCGGAGAGCTCCCCGAGCAAGTCTGCTGGCACAGTGCAGTGTGTGACCCACGCTCAGAAGCGGCCACCCTTTCCTCCTGCTCCTTGGAAGCCAGTCCCCACTCCTTCCCCGTCTGGAGGAGACCGGGGTCACAACACGAGGGCAGGGACAGATGCCCGGTGTGTGCACCCCGCAGGTGCCGAGGAAACCACCCAGGAGAGCTGGAGGAGTGAGGCACGTGAGAGCAGATTCCAGATTTGTAGAGCAGAAAACAGAATTGAAAGGAGAAATGGGCAATCACAGTTGTAGGCATCAACATTCCTGCCTTGGCAGTGGATGGAACGAGTACTCGGTCAATTTGGGACAGAACACCGTGGGCAACCATCTGTAGACCCTTTCACCCCACAACCAAAATAGACGTGTTCCTCTCAGGTGTTCACAGGCCATTCAGTAAGAAAGATCATATTCTGGGCCATTAAGCTGCAGTCACAGAAGGATAGCAGTCACATAAAGTGTGTTCGTGATAGAATTACACCAGAAATTGGTAACAAACGGGCGCCTGGCTAGCTCAGTCAGGGGAGCATGCAGCTCTTGCTCGGGGTCGTGAGTATGAGCCCCACGTGGGCTGTGGAGATTGCTTTAAAATATTAAAAAAAAAAAAGTAATAACAAACATAGCTGGAAAATTTCTTAAATTTTTCAAAATTAATACACTTCTGTATTACCCATGAGTCAAAGAAAAAGTCTCAAGGGAAGTTTAAAAATATTTTAAACTGGGGCACCTGGGTGGATCAGTCGTTGAGCGTCTGCCTTCGGCTCAGGTCATGATCCCGGGGCCCTGGGATCGAGCCCCGCATCAGGCTCCCTGCTCCGCGGGAAGCCTGCTTCTCCCTCTCCCGCTCCCCCTGCTTGTGTTCCCGCTCTCATTGTCTCTCTCTATGTGAAATAAATAAATGAAATGTTTACAAAAATAAAATAAGGGGCATCTGGGTGGCTCAGTCGTTAAGCGTCTGCCTTCGGCTCAGGTCATGATCCC